GCTCCTGCCGGCCCTCGGCTCAGCCGTCCACACGGTCCCTGACCGAGCCCGGTCCTGGCCTCAGGCCCCTCACCGTGCCTCTGGCTCTAGCCCAGGCCTCTGGGAGGACGTCTCCCTGCTGGCCACGCACGGTGGGAGCAGACACGTGGAGGCCTGCCTCCCTCGTGGCCGGGTCACCCAGGGGACACTGCCCCTCACGACCCATCTCCCACCCTGACCCAGGGCCCGGCCCGCCCCACCTGCCCACACCCCCGAGGCACCCACACAGGCCGGCCCCGTGGACTCGGGCTCAGGGTCAGGGGGAGCAGGAGAGTCGATGGCCACCACTGACCACCGCCAGGGGGGCCTGACGCCCAGCCTCCCGCGATGCCAAGATCTGGCAGAGACGCCGCCGGCCAACACGGGGAGGACTCTGACTTGGAAAGAACCGGAGCCGAGTGGAGGGGAAACCGAGGGTGGTTTGACCGCCTTCCGCCTCGGGTCACGATGGAGTCACCATCCCGCTCGCCCTGCCCCTGCGGGCAGCCAGGAAGGCGGGTGCAGGTCAGTGAGACGGGGTTCCGAGGTCCCGGGCGCCAGGCAAGGACATGGTCCCTGAAGACGGGGGCAAACTGTGTGGCCCACGTGGCCCGGTCGCTGTCTCAGGGGATGTGGGTGCCGAGAGGGCCCCTGGGCAGGGAACTCCCTCCGGGAAGGACACAGTGAAAGCGAAAGTGAATTCCGGACGTTTCCTGGGAGAGGAAAGCTGGAAGGATTCATCACCAGGAAATGCGTGTGATGAGAAACGGTGACATGAGGTCCTCTGGGCAGGAGGCAAGGGCGCCGGGTGGAAACCGGGAGGAATGAGCAGAACCAGAAAGGGAACTGGTGGCTGAAGAGAGGGAGTCCTCTTCCTGCTTGTGAGACTCTGAAGGTAAATGAATCGCAGCAAAGCCTCACGAAGTGTGTGGATGCGTGAGTGTAACTGGGATCGTGTAAAGACGGGGGTAGAGAGAAAGCAGGGAACGGCGTGGTTCCCATACACGAAGAATGTGGTGTTGCCCGGAAGTGGACTGAAACGTTAAAGATGTGCATTGCCAACCTCAAGCCCCTAAAATAAGAAAACAGAGTGACAAATACTAAGCCAACGACGGAGGAGATACAATGGGTCAATAAAAAAAAAACTATCTAATCCAAGAAAACAGGAAAAAAAAATGAAAATGTGTAATCAGTGCTTCAAAAGCAGTGGTATCCTACAAAGTGAAAATTAAGGTCTAAGCCTGGGTTGTGAAGTGGAGGTCATGTTGCAATGTCACTGCCTGTGAGTGAAGTCTGGCCTGGGGAGCCCAGGGCAGTTCGCAGATGCCCACCGTGGTGGGCCCACCATCGGGAGAGGGACCCCTGCGGCTGCACTGACCTGCCTTTCCATTTCTAATGGGATACAGTACTTTTTAAATAAGGAGCCATACTTTTTATTTAAGGTTTGAGAAATGAATGTGGTTTCTAATTGTATCAGACATTAATGTTTTAAAGCTATGACAAAGTTTAAAATTTCTACATTTTGTTTTTCTGTTATTGTAACTGTTCTTTTATCTATTAAACCAGAGGCCCAGTGGAGTCCCTCATCCCGGCCTGCCCCCTCTCACAGTTCAGGAGCCCTCGGGGGATGTCCTACTGACGGCTTATGGGGAGTGGGCCTAAGCTGTAGTCTGGCCTCTCTCTGTGGGAGGCAACCGGCCGATCAGGGAAAGGCACTGCCCCCATCACCCCCTGGCTGCTGCTGCCTCTGGCCTCCCTCTGCAGGAGGCAACCCGACAATCAGGGGAAGGTGATGCCCCCATCACGCCTCTGCTACTGCCACTGCCAGCCGTGAAGCTGCCTGAGCCTCGGCCCTCGCAGCCACTGCAGCTTGCCTGAGCCTCGGGCTGGCCCTGCGCAGCGGTAGCTGCCATCCGCTCCCCCGATGCACCTCCTGGTCAAGTCCCCGCCCACCCACGCGCGCCTGCTGTGCACGCAGCCCCCTGGTGATCACTCGTTGCGGCGTGAGGGCGTCACGGTGTGAGGGCGTGACGACCACATAGGCTTTCATTAGTATAGATTCCAAACAAAAGAGCAGAATCCACACTCTTCTCAATGTGCTCACAAAACATGTCCCAAAACAGACCATATTCTGGGCTATAAAACAAGTCTTGATAAAGTGAAAAGGATTCAGGATATACAAAATATGACCCTCACCACATGGAAGGAAATTAGAAATTATTAACAGAAAGCTCTCTGGAAAATCTCCAAATATTTGGAAATGAAACAACACCCTTCTAACTTACTCATGGTCCAATGAGAAATCAGAAAATATCTTGAATTGAATGAAAATGGAAGCACGACATATGAAATCTGTGGGATGCAGCTAAAGCCGTGCCCAGAGGGAAATTCATAGCAATAAACTCCTATACTAGAAAAGGTCTGAAATAACCTTAGTTTCCACCTTAAGAACTAGAAAAAGGGCATTAAGTTAAACCCAAAGTAAGGAGAAGCAAGGAATAAGACCAAAATAGGAACTAATAAAATAGACAACAGAAAGCAAAGAGTTGGTTGTTTATCAATGAAATTGATAACCTCCAGCCCGAGGAGTCAGGAAGAGAAGAAAAAAGACACACTGATCCACAGTGGGGACCAGCGGCGCCATCACTGCATTCAGGGGAGAAGGGGCACGAACAGGCTTAGGCGAGAAGGCTGGCAACGTCGACGAAACGGACAGCTGCTCAAGAAGAAAGATGGCCGAAGGGGCCTGTGTGTTGCGGGTTACGTTCGATGCCACTCACAGCCTCAGGATGGCGCCTGTGGACACCACGTGTGGCCGGGTGGAGCCAGCCCTCAGGCCCTGTTGGTGGCACCGGAGACCCGGGCTGCCTCTCGGGAAAACACTCCGGCGGTTTCTCGAAAGTTCAAGCACAGACGTGCCGTGCGCTCCAGCGATCCTGGCACATCATCGAAAACACACGCTCACACGAAAGCTGGGCAGGAGCCCTCACAGCAGCCGAACAGTGCGAACACGCCAGCCGTTCCTGGGCGGGCGACAGGCGTGGTGTGCGGACGCCACGGAAGACCACTGGGCAGGAGAGGAAGGAGGTCCACAGGCGTGGCAAGGCGGCGACCCCGGAAGCTCGGTGTGAGTGGACACAGCTGAGCCGAGACGCACCCCACAGGTCACACAGGAAACGCCCAGAGGAGGCAAATCCACAGAGCGGGGTGGGGTGGGGGCCTCGGGCTGCGTGGGGCTGAGGGTGTGGACAGCTGCACGCGGTGGAGGGGCCTTTCTGGGTGAAGGGAAGGGTCTGGGTCGGCACTGTGGTGTGGTGACGGTTGTCCGACTGCAAATTTACTAAAAATCGTGGCGTCGCTGATACAGATGAATTTGATGGTATGTAAATGATGCCACAATAAAGTTGTTAAATAAGCCAATTGTGACTAAATACGTTTGGTGCCTGCTACACCTCGTGGCGTCCTGATGAACGCCTGTTGAGCTCGGCCCACGTGGCTCAGTGGCTGAGCATCGACCAACGAACCAGGAGGTCAGGGTTCGATTCCCAGTCAGTGCACAGGCCCGGGTTGTGGGCTCGATCTCCAGTGTGGGGCGTGCAGGAGGCAGCCGATCCACGATTCTCTCTCATCAATGATGTTTCTCTCTCTCTCCCTTCCTCCCTGAAATCAGTCTATATATATAAAAGCCCAAGCGACCATCCGACCTTTCGACCATCCGACCGGTAGCTATGACGCACACTGACCACCAGGGGGCAGACGCTCGACGCAGGAGCTGCTGAGCTGCGGTGACTTGGCAGCTGTGATTCTTGGGGGCTGGGGGGAAGCTTGTTGAGCTAAGGCAAGTGTGACATCAGGAATCCTGTGCGGTTATTAACGGGTCCTGCTACCACCACCCCCCCCGCCCCGCGGTGTCTCAGGTGGCCGGGGGGGAGGGGGGCCCTCTGTGGGAAGTTGGCCTGTCCCTCCCCGGCCTCACCACTGGGCTGACCGTCCCAGGAAGAGCAGCAGGACGGGCGGTGGGGGGGGAAGTGGCCTGATTCCCTCCCAGGCCGAGGCCTTCCTCCCCTCCTGGCCGGACCGGGCTACGCAGACGCACCCGTACCCGGTGCTGCACCGTCACCGTCCCCTCCCTCTGTGAGTGTGTGACCACCGCACACGGGCATGCATAGCACACATGCTCACACGAGCTCACACATGCTCACACAAGCTCACACACATGCTCACACACATGCCCACACAAGCTCACACGAGCTCACACACGAGCTCACACAAATGCTCACACGAGCTCACACATGCCCACACGAGCTCACACACATGCTCACACAAGCTCACACACATGCTCACACACATGCCCACACAAGCTCACACGAGCTCACACACGAGCTCACACAAATGCTCACACGAGCTCACACATGCCCACACGAGCTCACACACATGCTCACACAAGCTCACACACATGCTCACACGAGCTCACACACGAGCTCACACACATGCTCACACATGCCCACACGAGCTCACACACATACTCACACAAGCTCACACACATGCCCACACGAGCTCACACACATGCGCACACGAGCTCACACACATGCGCACACGAGCTCACACACATGCGCACACGAGCTCACACACATGCGCACACGAGCTCACACACATGCGCACACGAGCTCACACACATGCGCACACGAGCTCACACACATGCGCACACGAGCTCACACACATGCGCACACGAGCTCACACACATGCGCACACGAGCTCACACACATGCGCACACGAGCTCACACACATGCCCACACGAGCTGACACACATGTGCACACGAGCTCACACACATGCTCACACACATGCTCACACGAGCTCACACACAAGCTCACACATGCCCACACGAGCTCACACATGCTCACATGAGCTCACACGAGCTCACACATGCCACCCGGAGGGGCTCCGCCTGCCGGCCACAAGCAGATGCAGAGGCTGAAGCCCCTGACTGGCTGCCTGGGGGGCGGGGGGGCGAGCGTCACTGAGACGTTTGGTGTTTGTGTGTTTTCTCGGCCGTGAGTCTTTGAAGCAGCTCATTCAGAACCACCGGCTTCTACCAAATGGGCCGCAGGGTGTTGCCAAGTGCTGGGGGGGAGCGGGCCGCAGGGTCTGGGCGTGCACACGAGCTCACACACATACTCACACGAGCTCACACGAGCTCACACATGCCCACACGAGCGCACACACATGCTCACACAAGCTCACACACATGCTCACACACATGCCCACACGAGCTCACACACATGCACACACGAGCTCACACACATGCCC